ATCGGGCAATAAGTATTTGAGCCCTATTCAAGCACCGGTTTGCATCATGGACGAGAACAGACGGGTGACAATCTCTTCAGAGTAAGTGCAGAACCTGCGTCTAAGTGCCCAAAGCAGGCGTAGTCATTTTGAATACATTCTGTTCGTATTGTCGACAGACTTCAGATCATAGCGTGAGAGTAGGCGTATATACTTTACTCAGCTGGTGTGATACAGCCCGTTGCCGGCCAGAGTGTACGCACTCCCATTACTATCACTCCTCAAGCTCATAAACGAGGAGTTGGCCTTGTTGACCGGTAGGTGAACTGCTGCAGACCACCAGGATAGGTGGTCGAGGTTCTGCTGAGGGATGTCACAGTCGCTTGTCGAATCAATAATCCACAAAATCTTCAGGTCTTCCGCAAATATTGCCCAGGGCGACAGAAGAAGCTGAAGTACACTGATCCACTGGTGCAGTGACTTATTTGTTGGGTGAAGATGGCGGGTTCAGGTAAATGGCCACCTAACGGAATGGTACCCATCCAATAACGGCGTATCCCAAGACACAGTACTGGGACCCATCTTATTCCTGATCCATATAAACGAATACCTCAGCTTCTTTGGTCGCGTTGTCTATTATTTGCAGATGACCTGAAGATTTTGAGGATTATTGATTCTCCCGGCGATTTTGACATCCTTTAGCAGGACCTCGACTGCCTATCCCGGTGGACTGCAGCAGTTGTCCTACCGGTCAGCACGGCCGAGTCCTTGTTTATAATCCTTTTGATGGGTAGTAATTGGCGTGCGTACACCCTGGCGGGCCACCCGCTTCATCCCACCAGTTCCTTGAAGGATCTGTGCGTACTCTCACGCTGTGTGATCTGAAAAGCACATTTCCAATATATTGGACAGTGGTAACCCATCTCAAGAACTCAAGCAGGCTAACAAATGCAAAGGAAGAATAATTTCCGGCGACACTTTAACAGCGCATTTTTCATTAACCATCAGCTGAAATTCTCTCAGGATGCCGTTTTGATTATGATATAACAGGTGGTTACAAAAGCCAAGTTTTATTTATTAGTTATTCTACCCGTATGAGATCAAGCCGTAGACGAACAAACGTTCAACCATGCGAATGAACCCATACGTTTCCGAATGCAACACCAAATGCATTCCCATGCAAACATAATCATTATTTGGGTTTAGATATGTTTCCCACGTACAACCGCCATTGTAAAGGGACTGGAGTTTGTCGCTAAAATCAGCTATCTTTGCGTTGATTAATAACAAGGCCCTTTCAATAACGTAATATGAGGCATAAATCGCGATTATGTCGAAGAATGCAGCGTCATTGAGGTTGGGTCGAATAAACACGAAAACTACCACATTACAGCTCAGCTTCTGTATGTTTCCGAAACTAATTTGTCGTTTATTTTGATGGCGTATTACTTAGAAATTTGCATGTTTTCCCCCAGAACACATAATGCAGTCTGAAAAACCTCGCAGTCAATGTATTCTAGATTGTAATTATTAACGTGTTGTAGATGTTTACGCTGATAGACTAAACTTGACAGTATGGATCTCTGCACTCCTCGTCGTATGTTTATTTCTATAGAATAAGATTTTAAAAAACTTATATCGCTTCCAGACTCAACTGAATTTTGTGGTTCTTCGCAAGTTGTCTCACGCAGTGACTGTCTAATATGGTGCAAATTATTGCTCGGTATTCGGAAGACGAATATTAACTTCATTTGTCAACCAGTAAAGAGCCTGAAAGCAAAACGACAGACAGTCACATCGGTGAGAAACCATGTATATACTGTCAACAGCCTATCAGATATTTAGGAGCCCCATTTGTAAAAGCTACAGTAAATGAAACCAGGGTACGCATTAGTGAGTCCTACTGCCACAATCACTACTGCGGATTTGCTCTGAGCGGCATTCTGACACCCTTGCAAAAATCGATTTCGTAATTCAAATTAGACTATCAAGTTGTTAAACTTAGCTAATTCGCTTATTAATTTTTGCAGATACCACTGAGAGTTGATATGTTTCATATTATTGCAAACGCATGGTAGATAGAAGAGGCACCAGGGGGAATATGTTAGCGAAGGAAGATAATGTTTACAAAAAATATCTGAGCGTTGCTGAAGCAGTGCATTTTATAAAAACTTCAGATATGGTCCCAGTATTTAAAATAGCGGAAGCTGACTTCAAATTCCGGCGAAGCCGTGATTGGGATTGTGCATCGCAATCCCAGTCACACCATTTCTTCTCCAAAACCGGAAAACAAGGCTCATGTTAACTTCCTAATCTCCTGGGTGCGGATAGCTATACTTTAACGGCAGATGACTTAGCAATGTGTTGTTGGATTTCCTATGTCGTAAAATTTCCTATCGTCACTCACCGACATTTAACAAGAATACGAGACAGAAGGGTCACCCTGGTCGTTTGGCAAATACTACAATCATTTGAGATGCTCAAGGTATTATTTGTGCTCTCTGTTTTCAGCAAAGTGTCACGGCTTTAACTGCCTCTTATTTCTTTTCCAATCTTAGTAGCTTAGCTATACATAAGCACATTCGCTTGATCGATACAAATTACAGATTAGTTGATGCAATGAACCGAAACTAATCCACGAGACTTATTTATATATTAGAGGTAGAGGTACTTTCAGTTAGGTTGACAAGGTTCTTGTTCAATATGGCAGTTTAAATTGTTCACCTTGTAGCTCCGAAATTAAGCAACATAAGTGGCTTTACAGAAATTTGTATTTCTTTACTTGTGTTACCAGTTCTTCCGCGTTTCTTCAGGTGTACTTGATATTTTTTTGAATCAAATCAAATTGAGTTCTTGACAACAAATCGTCACAAAAGTGCTATTAGAATCGTTGTTCTATTTTCCGCCCAATTAAACTAATTTATTTGCAGCGAAAGGACTATCCACCTCATTTAAATTTAGTTTGTTAATTTTACCATATGCAGACGACGTATATCCGTTTACCTAGAACCAATAGACGAGCAGACTGCGAAGGTTATCGTAGTTGAATAACACCACAGTGGCTTTGACATGACGTGATGGAATTTGTATGTATATGTGATGGAAGATATATATCAGAGAACATTGGGCGAGGATATCGAGAACTGCTTGTAACAACATATTGTGTGCGCTAATCACCAATGGCGGTTTTATATCTTAGAGATAAATCACGTTGACGACCTTGACGGATATACTTCGTATATAATATTCAACTGTTTAGGTAAACCACACATCAATTGTACATCTAACATGAATTTGGTAACATTTTAGTAAACTTCGCTGAACAATGTCATTGAGTTTTGCTGAGAACCAGCATAGTCCCATAAATTGTGCGATTAAGAAACTAGTAAAAACATTTGGTCATTTAGCCACGAAGTCTTTTCTACTTGTCTCGTGGTATGCAATTACTAACCGGTCTGGTGAATGGTTGCTTTTAGCTCGCGTACGCACCAGGAAATTCCTGTAAAAATTTCTAAAATTTTTTATATTCGTGGTCTTAGACGAAATCTAAAAGAATTTAGCAGTCCTTATCACTAAAAGTATTTAGCCACACAGGTTTAAAGGCTAAAAATAATGTAACTCCGGAAATGTAGCCGTGCATTTGCTAAACACTGACATACATTCCTAAGAGCAAATCCGTCTATTGTGAATTCATATCGTCTGTTGTAGGCTGAAACACTTTGTAATCTACTATGGATTGTGTGAAAATAGAGTTAACTCAAAACTTCAGTGTTACCGCCATAGTCACTCTTAACATAAGTAAGAACTCAGCACAAATATTGTTTTTTTTTGACTTTTGTGAATACCGTTTGTGAGCTCTTTAGTTTACGGGTTTAATCCGAATCGGAAATATGACAAGGTAACAGTTGCTTCTGCACATCTATTAACTTTATTTCATACATTTGTAACAGAAAAGGTCCTGCTGCATTCGCCATAAATTATTCGGAGCCTGTTCATAAAAAGGTGGAGACTAGTAGAAAGGTATACGTCCTAGTTTATTACGCGCATTACTTTTTCATACGTGATAGCATTAATTCATTACAAAAGTAGTTAGATGATCTTCAGCTGACTTATTTTGTTTGTAGAAGGTAAATATATCGAATAAGTCAACTTGAATTTAATATTTGATTCTTAAGTAAATGAGAAACCATGTGCTAATGGGTATAGAACAGTTCTTGTGAAAACATTTAATAAATTAGCTTAGGCGAATCCAAGTAGCTGTCCTAGTTACAAGCTGCACACTATTCCTAATGGGGAAGCAGGTTCATCGCAAGCTGTGCTTTACTTGCACTCGGCATTAGAGAATTTCCTACCCTATTTGAACTGACACTGTTATGGAACATGTGAGGAGTGACGAAGGAACGAGTGCGGCAACAGCCTACTACCTGTCAGTGAAAATTTGACTTTCCACATGATTTACAGACGAGTATCCGGCAAAATGGGCTGACAGTTTATCGGATCATCTGGTCCGCACCACGTCGGAACAACGGGGGGTCACACTCGGCACAGTGTGAGGAATGGGTTGCGTTGAATGATCCGCTTGGTAGCGGTAAAAGTGTGTAGCGAATTCTACGTGCCTGCTTTTAACCCGAGATATGTAAAGGTCATCGCACCCATTCAAATCACAAGCGCGTACAAGCAGGTTTTGGTACTCTAGTGGTCGCATAACAGGGGCCGCTATAGCCCAAGTTGAGCTGGTGAAGTCGGCGCGCCCCGTGTTATCACACACACACACACACCACACACTCACACACACACGGTATTATAGCTAGTGTATAGAAGGTCCTTTCTGAGCCATCAAACGTGTAACATATTTGAAAGGTCATCCACAGAAATGTGAGTAAAGAGCAATTACTACAAGCAGATTTTTGGAAATTATCAGCTGAATAGTTAGTAGATGAAAGCACCACTGACATACAACGAGCCAAATGAAACTAGTGTTTTCAACCTTGACAAAAATAACATTCCAGCTGTCAACTCACTGGGTGTCCGATCGTAACGCTCGGCCATTAAAGTACCAATGTGTCTGTCCAGCTGGCGGTAGGGGAACAGAATTCACTGTGCACCTTAAACGAGCAGGTCGACCCAAACGAGCGTGAACAACGGGATTTGGTTGTATGGAAGGAGGTTCTAAAAATAAAAGTAATGAGTGCACTTTCTGGAATTCTTACTAACATGAATGGCTATTGTCTTTTCCGCGATGAAGCTGAGTCCAACTTATGATAAAACGTATATATACATATATATATGTATATAAATATTCAACATTATTCTTGTGCACTGACAACTCGCGCACTTTTCTTCGTAATAAGATGCGTAGAGGGGTGTCAAACATGAGACAAACCTAAAAACTTAAACTATAGTGTGGTTAAATTGTCGTGCCGGTAATTCATGGACAACTTGCCATGTAATGTATTGCTAAATGTTAGCGGCAAGAAGCAAGTCAGTAACAACAGATCCAGAACACAAATACATGTAAAGGCTGTTCGGAATGAGTACCATGTGAAGGATATTATACCAGATATTTTGTCAAAAAGAAGTGTAGACGACGGGTTTTTATAAGGGAGGGACATCATCTATTGAACACATATTGACCAGCCGTACTTTCATTTGTTGTTTGGTCAACAATAGGAGTTTTAGATGGCCAGTAAGAAGGTCGAGAATTTCAGACAATTCCGTGACTAAGGGGATTTATACTTCATGTCGCGTATGTGACTTCTTAAAAATAGAACCACAGTTTTAGTGGATTTGTCTTTGTGCTCATCTGTTCTGTTTTGATAAAGCAAGTTACAGTTTAAAGGTTAACAATTAGCAAAAAGTATGTACAAAATTATCTGGAAGAACATCAAATGCCCCAGTGTGCAGTCAGTTGCAATAAAAAACCCGCGATCTGGACGGTAAACAATCACGTTGTAAAAAGGCAATTCAAATATATTATTTACGAAATCAAGGACATTGGTTTCCACCCGGAATAAACTGGGACAATTTGTATACTCATCTGTAGCAAGATACCAATTGAAACCCTACAATGCGGGCTGAAAAATAATGCCAGAACATAATGCACCTCGCTGTGTTTCAAAAACGCGCATTTTGGTTTGGTATATATTACGCTTAAACTGGTGCATTTAATTGAGATAATTTCTCTAAGCTCATTTTCGGCATCAAGATATCAGATATTGGAATGTATGCCACTCTGCCACTCTACTTAGAAGATAAGTACCATAAGCAGTCATTCAGGACCGAGACCCCCTCAACTTGACGAAGACATCCGGTCACAAACATGTGGTTATCCTACGTACAAAAGGCGGCATCAACGAGAAAGCACACTTGCAGTGTTAACTGCCCCGCGGTTTAATCACCAATTACTAAAAACAGAACCACCTGAAACATAAACATGCAATCCGACTAGGAGGCGTCAACACACGCGCTGCTGATGCCGACTGCGAGCCATAATCGGTGACTTTTCGTGTCAAGCCCAATGCAATTCAAGTGGACTATTTTCAGGTATCTGAGGCAGACCAATACTCTCAAGATTCCTCGTCAGTGGTTTCATTCCGTCATTCCAGCACCATTCATACGCTAATATATGGTGTAAAACAAACGCGGCTCTCTTCAGTGAACAGTGACCGGGCACAAGTATATATGCCTAGGTCAAAAAAGAGTACAATGTTAGAGATTGTTTTAATTTTCGATGGATTATAACAGAGAACCATTTTCCTGTGCATAGTTTCGTTATAGATAAGCTGCTTGCCCTCCGACACACGAGATGATTTGCAGGTAGCGGTGGTCGTAACAGTGAAAAAGGCTCAGACCATTCGATTGAAGCGGTCACTGCTCACTTCCAAGAAGTAGGAAAATCGTCAAGTCCAAGTTACCGTGCAAGCGCATCGCAGACTCATGACGTGAAGTTATAGATCACCCGGAAATCCGAGCTCCTGATTCGCTCTGGTGCCGCCTATGGTTGAGAAATAAGGACACACGTCTACTAGCGGTGAATTACCGCCCACCAAACTCGACGTCGGAAATGGATTCCAAACTGAACCACGCCTTACAGTTGGCTTTCAAAAAGTCCTACACCCACATTCTTATCGCTGGAGACTTTAACGTGCACGACATAAAAACGCCAGCAACCGACGGTACGCTGGTTAAAGTCTGCTTGCAAGAGCTAATTGCTAGTCACCCTCTGTACAAGCACGTAACCTCTCCCAGCGGACATCCAACTGCAAACAAGCCGTCGATACTGGATCGTATGCTCGCTAACGAAGAAATCATGGTTGATGGGATAATTACAGGCACACCAGTGGGTCGTAGTGATAATGTTACTCTACTCTGACGATATATGGCATACGGAGTATCATGAAAATGAGGATGCTAAACCGTATAGTGTCACGCAATATAATGTGTTATCTACGCCTGTTAAGGAAACATCTTGGACTTTCTTAACCGAATTCTCCCCAGATATTGCCTGGGAAACTTTTACAAGGACATTTAGCACACTGGTAGCGCACGCGTCGGAAGAGAGGTCCTTCCATCCCAAAAACAAGCATAAGTAATTTCTGAGGAGCAGAACACATAGATATATGTCCCGGAGGAATTTGGTATGGTGAGATCACCAGGACTGCTGGAATGCCAAAACGTGGACTGCATACGTGACCCTTCGTAACTTTTGTGTGAAACTGATCCGCGAAGACAATGTCAGGCATCAGCAGAATTTAATGAAGTGATTCTGCACGAACCGCAAACTTCTGTAAAGGCACGTTAACAGAATTAGAAAGGTGAAGTGGGGGATTCCAGCACTAATTACGGCTGATGGGTGCACGTGGTCAGTAAAGGAAGCAGCCAATCTCCTACTGCTTCACTACTCTCAAACTTTTCAGCAGGTAACGAGCCAAAATATTCTCCTGGTTTCTATTGCTCCACCGTCGGGTTTTGACAACATCACCTTCACCGCGGTAGCTGTGTTGAAGAAGTTGTTATTCTTGCGTATACACAAATCTACTGGAGTCGACAACATCCGACCAAAGGCTCTGCAGGCGGTAGCCATTGATTTTCTATCAGCGATGTCTAGAAGAGAACCATATTTCACCAGCATGAAAGCTATGGCTCATCATCCCCATCCATAAAGGAGGTAGCCGCACTGACCCTACCAACTACCGTCCAATACCACTACTTCCTGTACTCTCTAGACTTATGGAATCAATTATCGCAGATGCGTTGATGCAGTATCTGGAAAGCCACAACTTATAGCCCCAGAGAAACATGGCAATCGTCAAAAGCATTCGTGTAATACCACCTACCGATTACAAACAAGTGTCATAATGAAGCTGTTGTTGATGGAGCAGGAGCCGATGTCATCTACCTGGACTTTTCAAAAGCTTTTGATCGCTTACACCATCGAATTCTACTTCAGAATCTTCGGAACTACGGCATGGGTGACCCAATCATGCGTTGGATTAGCAATTTGCTACAAGAATGACGACTAGCGGTAAGAGTCCGAGAATCATTGTCCGATGCAATCGATGTGGTGTGTGGTGTAACACAAGGCTCGGTGCTTGAACCTCGTCCATTCTTGGTGTTCGGTTACAATTTGGCGAGATCAGTTGCTTCCGAATTCCTATCCTCCGCAGGTGATATCAAGATATGGCGAAGGATCAGAGGACCGGACAACCACGAATGGCTCCAGTGCGATCTTAACACGGTGTGGAAATTGTCAGTTCAACACGCCCTACCGTTCAACCTAGACAAATGTCGCGTTGTACAAGTACGCCGTACACATAACTACACATATTTGATTTAACCAAACGGATTTCAGACCAGCTCCCAGAAATATGACCTTGGTGTTATCGTACAGTGACCAAAACTGTTCAAAACTAGCTGAGGTAGCTGCAAAAGAGGCAACCAGCACGTCGGCATGCTGCGAAGGGCATTCGGGAGTTTTGAACCATCAATCTTCTCAATGATACACAAATCCTACGCTCTCCAAGCTTTGCAACCTTGGCTGAAGCGCGACCTAGAAGCGATAGAGGCACCACAACGGAGAGCAACAAAGGACGTGATGGGCCTGCGCTATCACTCTTACCACCGAAAGCTGAAGTAGCTAGGAATTTTCAGCGGGCCCTATCGAAGGCTGCGCAGCGAACTCATATTAGTGTATCAGATATTGAGTGACCCCAACCACGGATGCCGTCACTTGCTGAAACTTAGCCACAAGGCGCAGCTCAGGGTTAACTGCTTAAAATTGAAGGAACGATATAGCCGTCTAGAGTGTCGACGGAATTACTTTTCCCTTCGGGGTTGCCAACCCTGGAAAGCACTTCCAGGCTCAGTTGTCTCCTTCCCTAATATGGACGCTTACAAAAAATGATTAAGTGTTGTTCTTAGCTCCCAGCATCTTGTTACCTAAGCCAGTATATTGTGGATTACGCCAAGCATGATTTTCTAAAGGATTTATGTATCAAATGGACCAAAGCCAGCGACCATATTTTACTTTTCTGACGCCTAAATTCAACGACAGCTGCACCCTAGTGTATTTCTGAAAGCTTACGCTTCATGTAATTAATTTTACACTGACGCCATTTATCAGTACTCTTCTCGGCAGATGATCGGTAGATGACCTGGATATAACTCGATTTCGTCATAGTGGAACATATTTGGAACCGATCGGGAAGTTATAATTTAAGAAAACTTGGTAGACGACCGGTTATAATGGATTTAAGGTGATAGATAACGTTTCGCTTTAGATACAAACGATTCATCAGGCGAAGCGAACTTTATTAACATTGGCATTTCATAGCAATCATGGCTAAGCTACATACAGAGACGAATCAATTTGCAGTTCATCAATGGATGATTACAGCGGTCAAAGGTCAATATGTTTGTGGGTACACTGTAGTTTGTTTCAGTCAGGGTCAAGTGGGGAAAAGAAATTGCCGGTCTGCGGATAGTTACATGTGTGGTTAGCAATCAATACTGAACCGTTGCAAGGAACTTGACATTGATGGAATTTGGTTTTAGTACTTCGGACTTCGGTGGGGGGTGGGTCGATAGTTCATTCCGATTTGATATTCATCCACCGATGCTTATCAAGCTGGTCGGAGTAAGACTGGACGCCAGGCACTAAACAGCATTACTCCGTCTATGATATTCACGCAGTTGTTAGTGTTGGTTATTTCTATAGCCTCAGCAATCAGCCTTTGTTTGGCTGATCGTAATCCCTTCCTGATAACCTCCATATTTTCGAAGTCAATTTTGTGCCTCGTGTCTAGCGCATGCATTGCTATTGCCGAATCTCTGAGTAGAGCCCCATACTCTAGCTCATTTCGCGGAGGTCGTGATATGTGTCGCCTATGTTCTAAAATCCTTGTACGTAATTCCATCGATATTTGGCCTATATACATTTGGATATCACCTTTACATGGAATTTTGTAAATACAGTTAGTTGTTTTATCTAAAAGGAGAGAATCCTTCAGATGTACAAGTGTGGACAGTAGCCTTTGACCCTTCTGGATAACTACACTTAACTTCTCCTTATTCAGTACTCTCCGATTGGCTTCCGAAGTTCCTTCTTTATCCCGAATATCCACTGTCGCTATCCACTTTGTGGTTGGTGTTGCGCGTGGGTTGATACATTTTTGTAGCTGTCGTTTCACCAGTCGTTTCGGATATCCGCTGGCTATTAAGTTTATCATCGCCTCCATCTGCGCTGCTTTCTTATCTTCTTCCTCCGTGTACAGGGTACTTGCTCTGTGGAATAGTGATGAGGCGAATCCAGCGTACATGTGCTTCGAATGGCTTGAACTATAGCTAAGTACCACATCTGTGTCCATTGGTTTGCGATACATCGTGGATTTTAACCTGCCTTTCTTCCAATGTACCCTACAATCAAGGAACGGAAGTGTACCACTCTGCGATTCAAGTTCCATGGTGAACTATATCGCAATGTCAATGGAGTTCAAATAGTTTAAAAATTACTCCTTTTATCTCTTTTATAAGCGCAAATTTTCATCCACGTATCGCCACCATACTTTCAGGGCACCACGGAGATTTGGTAATGCTTACTTTTCAAACTCCTCCATGTAAATATTGGCTAATAGGGGGGAAATTGGAGATCCCGTGCTCAGATCCTGTTCTTGAGTGTACATTCTAGACTGGAATGTGAAATAAGTCATGTTGAGACCCGTTGATCCACTATCAGCTTTGTTCTGTCCTCTAAGCTGCTGTCCCCTATCAAGCAGTTTTTCGCTAATCGTAACGCCTCCTCCTTGGGTACATTCGTGAACAAGGAGGTAACATCGAAGCTGACCATCAATTTGTATGATCTGATACTCACCTTTTGCAGCATTCCTTTAAACTCATAACAGTTTTTTACAAATGTGTTCATTCTCCCTGTTAGGGGTTGCAGCAGGCTCGCCAGATATCTCGCGAGTTCATGTGTGGGAGAGCCTATGCCATCCACTGTAGGTCGCAAGGAGACCTTTGGCTTGTATATCTTTGGGGGACCGTAAATTCTACGTGGAATAGCCGACTTCGGATAAACGCTGTACCATTTGCCCTTTCCTAAGCTATCCTTCACGGTTCTTAGGTAACTAGCGACATCCGATTTCTTCTTATTCATGACCGATGTAATGGATTTCTTCTCAACCTCTTCGTATGGTCCAGTGGTCAAAAGCTTCTTCATGTTTTCTAAATAATCTGTTTTATTCATTACCATTGATAATGTACATTTATCCGCTTTTGTAATGACAATCCTAGTATTTGCTTTCAGGGTTTTAAGGCAACCCCTAACAGGGAGAATGAACACATTTGTAAAAAACTGTTATGAGTTTAAAGGAATGCTGCAAAAGGTGAGTATCAGATCATACAAATTGATGGTCAGCTTCGATGTTACCTCCTTGTTCACGAATGTACCCAAGGAGGAGGCGTTACGATTAGCGAAAAACTGCTTGATAGGGGACAGCAGCTTAGAGGACAGAACAAAGCTGATAGTGGATCAACGGGTCGAGGAGATAGCTTTGTGTCTCGACATGACTTATTTCACATTCCAGTCTAGAATGTACACTCAAGAACAGGATCTGACCACGGGATCTCCAATTTCCCCCCTATTAGCCAATATTTACATGGAGGAGTTTGAAAAGTAAGCATTACCAAATCTCCGTGGTGCCCTGAAAGTATGGTGGCGATACGTGGATGAAATTTTTGCGCTTATAAAAGAGATAAAAGGAGTAATTTTTAAACTATTTGAACTCCATTGACATTGCGATATAGTTCACCATGGAACTTGAATCGCAGAGTGGTACACTTCCGTTCCTTGATTGTAGGGTACATTGGAAGAAAGGAAGGTTAAAAACCGCTGATACTGCGGTGAAACCTGTTGCCGTCAGAGGTGGTTTTATTAATAGCCAGACGACTGTCTCATAGCTAGGGAAAATACTTGATTTATTCACAGCTTGTTGATTCTGAAATATATAGCTTGTTTCAATAGATAATTAGGTAATAATGAAATACTTAACTGCGTGTAATAGGTTTTAAAACATTTTTTAGTTTAATTACCATTGAGCATGCAACGAAATATTTTCAGTCTTGGTTTGAAAGTTTATTCAATGTAGAAGGAGTAAATTCTTGCCGCTTTCATTTGATTTAGATATGCAATCTAATCAAGGGTTGAGAGACAGTCTTAATAAAATCACGCGGCGTGCATGACAAGCCCTCGAATACACAGTTCATCAAATAACAACTTTTCTATTCCTGCGTTCAAATGTTGTTTCCCTGTTTTTATTATGCTTCAGCTACATGGAGCAGGATGTTTGTTCCACAAGAGCATTGCGCTCGTGATCCAGACATTGATATTGTGCAATTGGTACGTTGTTCGTTGATTTGCATTCTATATTCAATTTCCTCGCCTACTAAATTATCCTGTAGATATAAGGATTCTACGTAAGATTTACAACTTTAGATAAATCTGCTGTGTGATTTGCATTGCGGCACGCAACTTCAATTGCGATTTCTATTGACTGAAGTTGGCCGTTGCAATTTCGATCACCGAGACAATATCCAATTCGCAGAGTTACTATCTCACAACCCTGCACACCACGGTGCACTTTGTCCTTGTTTGGAGTCATCAAGATTGGCTGAGGTGGGAATAGAACTCGGTGTTTAGCGGTTACCATCTGTCGCCATGATCACTTGGTCATTAAGGTTTCAGGAATGGTCACGAATTTGCTAGCATCATATAAATAATCTAGAACCTTCTAGATTCTTCACGGACAGTCTAATAGTAAACATGATTTTACCCCTGTGTCCCAAAAGTAAGTAAGCTGCTTTTCCTACTTGGTACTTGACAAAGTAACACGCTATTGGCGAATATGGACGCAGGGGCAGAGTTCTTGGCTGCACGTCAAGGCTTCTCTCGACTCGATTTACTGATTCATTCTTGCGCTACAACAGGTTTTGCAAGGTCATGCGTTAATACTATGTTACGTTTGTGGTGGAGCGAATTTTCCAAAAACGGTACGCAATCAGAGTGTGTATGGAACTTAAAAAATTCGCCACTGAGCCATTTGAAATATAGCGGGTTTACAAATATGCGCCATTAGATAGAAATATAGATATTCGATGGCATAAAGCTTAGCTATAATTATACAGGCGTAAGATTATTTGCGACAAGTGGAATAAAGATTCAGTGTAAATGTAACTTGCCTCAAATCTATATATTATAAGCTTCATAGGATGTGGTCATAATATCAAAGCCTATGGTGAATATTGGTGTACTAATTTTACGTTTAAAACATATATGTTTGAAATATTACACTTAAAACTCAGGAATGTAATCTTGCTTCAATTGTTATCATTCTGCTGGAGAGATTAGTACAGTAAAAAGTGGTGCTTTAAGCAACATCTAATTGTCAATTCTATTTAGTAGTGATTGATACAAATAATACAAGGGGTATAATGAACTGGTCCATTTTAACATTTCACAACTTTATTTTCCGCACTGGCTTGTTTGTTGTCGTTACTAACGATCAACAGCTGGTTAAATTGAATTCACCTAGGGAAATGTTACCACGTCAGTATATCATTACACAATGGATTCAGCAAGTACCAGTTTTAACGAAACCGAAATCTCAAACAAGAACTTATTCGAGCTGATAGACGACTTACTGCGTTTGGCAATAAACATTTGCTTTGATACCGGAGGGAAATCTTCAGAGAGGGCGGTACAGGTGTAAGTGCCAAAATCCTCTTCTCTTAAGTTGTCCTTTCGATAAGTAACTCCTCGGTGAAGCACTTCGTGTCCACCCTCCCGAAGCCATTCTATTCTTGGCGTGGGATTGCCACGTGCTGGACAATCCATCGCAACATCTTCACCTGGTGATGCCGTATACAGCAACGTTGAAGGTTCTACAAATTGTGGTCCGACTGCGAATTATGGAAGAAAAAGATCGACTGATATTAAAAGCTGAAAAGCTGGAAACATTTTTATTCTTCGTAATTCAGCAACTTAGCGCATGACCTACGGACTGCGGCAGTCCTTGCTCATGTTTTTCAATGAAGATATCGCTATTTGTAGATTTCATATGTATTATGTAGAATGTTAATAGATAGAACACTGAGCTCCTTGTACTGTTATTATTTGTAACCTATGTGTGCCCAAAGCATTTTCACTATTCCATTTCAACTTGTTATTTTACCGAAGAACGAGACAACCTGTTGTACAAAAGTTATAGTCATCTGGAAGTAGATAACTGTCATTAAACATTAATGTATATACATACACGGCAAATTAGTGGCTAAATTACTGGCTAATGTCCAAAGCAAATTCAGATTTTTTGTGAATGTATTTTTTTGTGAATGTATTCCCATGCATTATTAAATCCCAATGTATAATGTTTAGGTATCCTTAGTTCAACAGTAAGTACTAAGGTAGAGAAACAGAAAATATGTTGCGTATGAACTGCAGTATTCTCATTAAAGAACCATGGTTAGTTGATGTAGACGTTTATTTTTTAACCATCTGCTCATGGCTGAAGTTTTCCTATCAACAAATTACAATTGCTCAACTAGTTACCTTCGGCTTCATAGAGAGCGCGACATCTGGTTATACTTGAACAAAATGATGCGTGGTGTAATACATGCTGAAGATGACAACCAATATACTAAAACGCATGAGACTCACATTTCACCCGAACGGTAGTTTCTGCATTTCCCTTCTTGTTTGAAATCGCCACACAACGAAATACAGCATTGTGTAGGTTCCGTGTCAAGCGCAGGCGATACCATGGGTCGGTAATACTTTCAATCTGTCGACCATTTACAAACCATCTAAAGTAAACATAGGGGTAGTAATGGTACCCTTTTGAAGGAATCGTTAACTGCTGCACATGATGAAAGTGGTTAAAATATTGTGCTCGCTATATTGTTTTAAGCTTATTCCAAGTATAGGTTGCCTCAATATGCCTGAATGCATACGAACAAACTCAATACGAGGTGATATCAATCTGTTAAGCCATACGTAGGAGACAGTAGAAATATTACTGCACCTCCTCAATGCGTGCCAGTCCCTTATGCACGTATCTGTAAGAAATAGAACTCTCAGCTTCCGTTTTGTTCTGGGAAGCAACAGTTGCTAATCGGTTTGTATTTTGCATTATTTGAGTACATATGTAATACGAGTGTAGCAAATGTTTGCGTCGACAATTCAAGATTGGATTATACACGGTGTCAGAAGGCCCGAGTGGATATACTCTAGCCAGTTGATTAAAGCCTAATTGTATAAAATTATTTCAAGGCGATTTATTTAATACTCCATGGGGTTCATGCAAGTGACAGTTTATATGCCTATTACTTACGCACATAACAGCAATAGGTTTGTTAACACGCTGATTTTACTAATTTTGTCGCACTTATTTGTTTCGGATTTTCAGTTTGCACACAAATATACACCTCGATGATGGTAGTAAGAATATTCAATATATAAATTCTGCACTTTTGTTATATACATATACATATATGAGCGCTTCATCATGGTCATCCATTGGCATCAACCACAAAAAGCGTTTGACTTGAAAAGTGAAACAGCTGATGGGGTTTATAGCAGAGAATGAACTGTATTCTAGCTATGCAACAGAACGGTATTAATCAAAGACTTTAGGCTTTACCTAGGATGTAAAGTTGTGCAAATTTATAAGGTAAATAAACTTGCTGCTGCTCTTGCTTATATATTTAAGATGGTGAATCACGCCCAAATTTACAGGTTGTAAAACTATAGAAGGACTGCCTTTAGATCCTTATGAACTCAAGGACAAATTAGTAAATATTGGTAAATACGTCAGCAGCGTTGTCTGCAACATCGCATTTACAGGACATTGCTTGATTTTTCTATGATTCGTATTGTGTTAAAAGCCATGCAAACTTCAAATATGAAAATTTAGTAAAAAGTCCTGTAAATGACATTAGATAGTTTTGCTTTCATTTCTCAATCGACTTTTAATTCATCACGGTATCCAACGAATACAAAAAATCAGTTAAAAATGAAACCAAAAAATTATGCTCGCTGCTCAAACATTTATCTGTACTATACAGTATGTAATGTTTCACCTCAATTATGATTATTTTAGCAGTCCAACACAGATAAGTACGCTGTTTTTATGGCGTGCGGCGTCGTAAAATGGCAACACGTACCATTTAATGGACTTTGAATATATGATAATTTCGTTAAATTTGGTACGGCCTGGAGTCGACTTATCGCTAACATTTTGAAAATGGTTTAACATGAATTTTACTGATACCTAATGTATTTATAGTGCTATTTTGAAAACTTGTAAACAGTGGTTTAGTTATTTGCAAATTAAAAGCTTTTTGTTAGGCTTTTATGCGACACCGGAGACATTATTCATTCTGGTTGAAGTCGACCGAACCCCTACTGAGCTGAAGGGAGGGCGCGCATCAGTCATTCACGATGTAACCCACTGTATGATAAACAGCAATATGTTGAACATTTAGTCTGGTTTTTCTCTGCTGAGGCGAAAGGAGTTGAAACATTTTGCTCTAACTAATAATTTTATGGCCAGTTGAAACTTGGTTAATCCCTGCTTGTCTATAAATGCTTCTGCCATCAGCCCTATAATTCTTACATCACCAGCCAAAAAGTTCTATGAATAATGCGGTTAAATAACTCAGGTTTTCTTAAACAAAATCATATTTATGCGCTGACTATATGTTTATTTGCGCTTTACGATACTTAATAACTTCATCTTACCCAAGCTTCAGTGCTCTTTCTGAAGTGTAAAAGCCGGTTGTTTCGTATTCATTCTCGAACATGATATTTATCGCGCTGCCTCAACCTCCTGAACTTGCAATTTACCTTGTAGAGGACAAGCAAGTACTAGATTGCTTATTGTGAATATAATCCTGAAAGTTTAGTGGAAACCAGAGCTACTAAACCCACACACAATTTTGACATTACCAAGTTGCTGGCTTATATCCTTTCTTTAAGATTGGTACCAACGCATACTTTATGCTGAAAGCTAAGCTCGACGTTCATGGTTTCTCAAAGATCTTCGTGGGATAAGGATCAAGACGTCAGTCGTTAACCACTAGGCCACGGTTTCTAACCCTGTTAAGGCTATCTCCATCTGACGAGTCCAAATGGGTTTTGGAGTTTCGGTCTTGAGAGGAACAACACCGAAATACCACTATAGGCACGACGTGACTATACGTATTTGGCCAAAACAATTTCGCGCACATGTTGATATAATTGTTATGAAGCAGCCCAGCTGTAACTTTTCTAAGCCATAACAGCTGAAATTCTATCAAGTTTACAAAAGGAATCTAAAAAAAGAAGTATTGTTTTAATGACCAATGTATTGGAAGCTGGAATATTTTACCAGGGCATTTGATCGCAAACGGTCTCTTGGAGCAAGCTTACTTCAGCCGAAACTAGTTATTTTCAAAACAGTAATAGCGGAATTTTTCCTCGTACTTTTTTAGTTAGTCAACCTTTTGAGTAATCAGTCCGAATCCCTTAGTGTTGATAACTTCAAAAGTCTACCCAGAGAAAGTTAAAGGGGCTGACGGCAGCCATACCTGAATTCATTTTACACAGGCCTCTGCGGCAGAATCGCTTCAAGTTTAGTAAAATCAAATGATATCAAATTAGGCTTTATGCAGTCCTATAGGTGCCTTTTCAGCATCTTATACTATCACTGCGGACGATGGTGTATAGGCTTTTACTGTTACAAAAAACGCATAAAATTATCTACACATATTACAGACAAACAATTTCGTATCATACTGATAGTTACGGCTGGGTTAACACGCAAGCGGGACAGCTACGGTAATACAGAATTGCGATAAGATACAGCACGCGAAAATATAGTATTAAATTTGGAGCGGGCAAACAGTGTTTTTGATACGTCAAACTGTAAGGGATGAAGCTGGTCGTTTAGTACATTGGGGGAATAACTGTTACATTGGCCTAAGTGCTTGTTGATAACAAAATCCATATGCGACTCTATGGACAATCCGCTGCAGCTGGAAATAAACTTTATGGACCTTAAAATCAATGTATAGTCATTTTTGTAACCCATAGAAGACCACAGTGGAACAACAGAGCCAACGTGGCATTATACACGCAGTCGCAAATCTAAGAAGCAAATCACGGGGTACTGAAAGTACTTTAAGTCGGAACATAAATTGACAACCTTAGAAAAGGATTCGGCAACATGAGCAGACCAATAGAAACTTAAGGATAAAACAACCCCCAAAACTTTAAAACTTGACGATTTGAGTATGAACTGATCACTCAATGCTAATTAAAAATGGTGTCTAAAACAACTTGTTACCTGTCAGGTCGGAGAAACGAGGATGTTAATTCATAACATTTAGAAGGCTTCATAATCGGGGATCCGGACGAGGACCAAAGCATGAACTCATCATGACTATTTTGAAAAGTAGTAGATGTCCCAGCGGTTAGGGTTATGTATCTTAATACAATATCGCAGGCTGCTTGCATTAAATAAAGGTGGATGATAAGAGGCGCTTCTTAATGTATAAAAATATTGCGGGTGCGAGGATGGCTCCCAGTAAAACCCCGACTAGAAAGCAATGTAGAAGACTACTCTCCATTAAGCTAAATTGAGTGCACTTTATGAAGTATTTCTTAACCAAGTTGCAAACACTTGTGGGAACTCCATTTACAGACGACTGATTGTGCGGGATTGATCAGTCAACACTACAGAAAGCATATGTGTCGTCGAAAAACAGAGGGCGAACTGACATGCTTTTATCGTCTGGTGCAGTTGTTACAGAATGCAAAAGATATGACACCGAATCTAGTGTGGAGCGGTCATGTCAGCAAACAAACTGGTATATATCGCTTTTATTTTATACGCAGTGAGTTTCATCAACTGTGTTTGCGGCGCATTCTGCGCATCGGTTGGTGCCACTGAGTTGCAGACACGGAAGTGTTGCGCCGAGGTGGAATGTGTGCAGTAGACTGCGTACTTATGCTGAGACATCTGAGGTGGGTTAGTCATGTGAGACGTATGGATTGGACTCGGATACTTAAACAACTATTAAATGGTCAGCTGAATGTTGGGAAGTGGCACGTAGGTAAATCGAAGCTTCGTAACCAGAACATAATCAAAATGAGCATCTCACATTCTAATCTTGGTCATGGGAATCGGAGGCTGTTGATCGGCGTGCACGGCGCGATCTGCACGAAGGCAGTTGCCGAGGTGCAGGAGAAGCAGTAAGTGCGGAAGCGGCAGGCACCTATGAGTTATACTCCAACAACATGGAGCGCATGGTGCTGTAACACAAGCGGTTAAGAGTGCCTGAGTCAGACAGACCTAGTGAGCCATGAGAGAGGCCACTCGAGACCAACACCAAAAAGATGACGAGTCCTTCTGAGAACGAAGGCTGAACCGGCGCAGCGTTTTTAGGTACGCTGCAGTCAATTTACTAACAGCCTGCTTGCACCTTGGATCTCTTTACTTCAGGTAGTGAGTTTATTTTATTTTCTCATAATTGTCTACGTGAACTATATTCTACTAACTTGCACACGTCACTCAAGTTACTTATAGTTAACTTTGATTACATCTATGTGTTTGTGGCATTTCCTTAGAATATATATTCTGACGTATTGGACATATAGCGGATTTTATGACAACCAATTTATTTTATATGCTCGGTTATTGAAGAGCTATGTCGGCATATCTGCATGCATCAGTAGCTTTATTATATTTGTTATCGTCTTTTCAAGTGACTGGCTGTTGCTTGATATCCCCAGTGTTGCTGCGCTTGATATGCAGGTTGACAAG